ACATTTTTTCATTTAAGTTTTAAATAAAAATCATTGCGATTCGACGACTAATTTGCGAGAAATATGGACATATGTACAATATGGAACTGAAGCTTTTAAGACCCACTGTTTTTTTATCACTGGAGTGCTTAGAAACCCAACCGAAAAGTTTTAATTACATTCTTCTGCATTATAAGACAATATGCACTTCAAAATTACGTCTGGAAATCTATATATTGATAATCTCCTATTCTTGAAGTTGGTTAAAATACCCGTTGTGCGTGAAACATCATATAAATAATTTGAAACAATGGAAACTATACCTTGTGTTTAAAGATTTATATGATTAATACGAATGAAGATTTCTGAAAAATCGTAGAAACACGATTGGCTGTGCTATTCTGAATGAATATAGCGTTGAACACATCACTGTAAGAGCATACTGGATTTAATCAAATAAAACATTTATAACCTTTCAAAGTAGGTTCGAGTAACTCGGTGGCGTAGTGGATAAGCGGCCCGCGATTGTTGTTATTAAGACATTTTCGCAAGGGTGGGTCACGGGATGGGTGACCAAAAAATTATTATCTCGGGCTACTCCGTGCTTCGGAAGACACGTTAATACCCTTCAATCCGCTTTGAATTAGCATGAAAGGTCGTGGCCCGTCCTCCTTAACCATCCATAAGGAAGACGTAAAAGGGCTGATGATGAAGTAGGTATTATTAAACCTCTAATACTGTGACAGCACTGAGTTGGACACTGTATTTTTAACAGAATAACACCGCAAATATTTCTGCTAAAGTTCGATGCTGTTTTTTTTAACTAGGTAATGGAGATTCAATATAAAGAATAATTTCAGTTTTTTTATTCAATTATTTCACACCTAACAGCTCTCCACTGTTTAAGATTTACAATAATTAAAGAAAGAATTGTCAAACGCAGTCACGTTGTATTATTTACTGCCCTAACCTTACTAATATCTTAATAATGTGCCTAAACAAGGCGGAGGGTGATTAATGCCCATTATAACCTATTTCCCATACACTCTTTGTCTACCCACCCGTATTTCATTACCCTATCACGATACGAAATTTTCTTCACCAAGATAAAAGTAAAATTAGTAACACTAATGTATATATATACGTTATGAATGGTCAAAATTATGATAACACCATTCTTTAGTCACCACTTAATTCTTTCTATAGTAATTTTTACATGTTATGGTGATTTGTAAATTTCTGGTCCTTCACGCCGGATACAAGTAAACGACCTGCCTACAAACCATTATGTCAGTAGGTAAAGGTGTGTTCAAGGTAGGGATATGATACATACTTAAATCTTTTAAGAAAACTGTCAATCTTTACTATTATTTAAAAAGATTCAATAATATAACCTTACCTCTTAATATGGATATCTTATCTAAGAAATTCACAAGTAAAGCAAAATTAAAAGTGATTTATTAATCTTCACAATGACATCTTAATCCGAAATGCTGCAAAATCTCATGAAAAATGCATTAAATATACAAGTTTTTCTTTTATAAGCATGCTAGGTAGCTGTCATTTATAAAATTATGTCACCAAAGTGGAGTGATACATTATAAGGTGACATGCCTAAAATTATAAAATACAGTAAAAATGTACTTCAAAGGACAATGTCCAGCCCCCATACATTTTTCGCCTAAGAACCTCTAAGCATGTACTATCACTTTTCGTGTTCTAAAGTATCTATATTTACGTCTAAATACATGTTTAAGTAACGGACACTTCTAAGAAATGTATAAATCAAAAAATATATTTTGGATTTGAGGTTATAATTTTAACAATTGTAGCGTGCGGTTAGATTCTTTTTAATGTTCGTTTTACTTGCTTTTTGTAGGGAAATGTATGTCTACTTTGCTTTAAATGTTGATTGTTGTTGTTTGCTTTAAAAGGTTCTGTAGGTTCTGTATCTAATCTTGGAGCAACCCAGTGTTGGAGCAATGTAAAAGAGCGCTTCCAGCCGCTTAAAAATCTACGAACGTTTTGAGTCTCGTTTTAATGTCAAGCGCTTTAAGTGTTCATTGGTTGATTATACATCAAATTGTGCATAGATCCTGATTTGTCAACTTATTAAAATATGGTGGCAGCGTTTATTGAAGTTTATCAAATGTATTGATATTACTTTTTAAAGTAATTACAAAAATGGGCAGTGTCCGTTTGATTTTAAAAGCTGATATATTAATCATAAAATATGATAAGAATTATGATATACAAGATATTCTTAGAGGTTCATAGGCTAATTTGGACATTGTCCTGTAAATCCAAGCAATATTAATATAATATAATGTATAAAAGCCCTAAAAGGACTCGACAGACTCGAAACATGCTCAAGAGGCTCGAAAGAGAGATTTGCGCATACAATATCTTATTCTCGGTCTCGCTCTCTCACCTCGAGACGTTCGAGTTCGTCATGCTAGCTGGGCAGGTACACAGTATAAATTAATTATCGCAATAGTCATAAGCGACTTTTCATTAACAAAGGTTAATTACTCTAAGTCATTTAAGTGATCATGACTCTACTTCATGTTTCAGAGTCGATTAACCATATTTTAAAGCACATCTCCACAAGATCTTAACGCGCTCCCGTTTGACGGTGAATGTAAATGTCAAAAAACATACTAACCGCTACGTTCACGTCCGTAGGTTCTGACGTAGTCTGACAAAGACAACGGTTGTTTACAGTACCTAAAGATAACGCTCATAAAGCTATAATTCTGTAGAAACCTTTCGAAAATGTTCTACTTGGATATTAGATTTAAGTTCTAACCATTGTAGAATGGCACTCGTAAATGTATTGTTGGTTATAGTGTTGAAGACAACAAGCGCACTGAGCACTGTGCTGGGCGGGTCGTGGTCAGCTCTGCTGCTGTTAGCCGCTGTGCTGGCAACGTTGTTCCTGCTGTGGAAACGCCGCGCTGATAAACATAGAAATCTTTACTTCTCGGTATATATTTGAATGTATATTTAAGAAATAAAGCTATAGGGTTCCCATGATACTAGATGGTTAATTTAATAATATCTTTCTAAGTTTATTTCCTTGTGGAAATTTAGGTATATGTACCATAAATAGAGTAATTAATTACGAACCCACTTAGCAAGTTTCATGCCATCATCTGTATACCTAAATGCATGTGGCTAAAATGTCAACAATTCCCTAAGCGAGCCATGCCGTTTTCCACAGGAACCCGAAGACACTCTGCCCAAAGACGGTATCTGTGAGGTGATAGAATCTGAGAGTGGTGCTGAGGACGCGTGGGAGGTACGCGTGGAGCGACTGCTGCTGCATGAAGTAGTGGGCGAAGGTGCATTCGGTGTCGTGCGCCGCGCCACTCTCACCCCCACTGGGAAGGAAGTCGCCGTCAAAATGCTTAAAGGTTAAACTCTACATATTGGTACTCTTTGAAGAATTCGAAGGTGCGGTGATTAAAAAATTTTCGTTTGTAGCTGTGGAGTTCGTATAAATTACCGAAGGTCGGTCACCTCATGTGTCGTGGGTAAGCACATTAAGCCATTGGTTCTAACTGCTATTGCAATCGTTAACAACACCCAACTGCATCAGGCGCGGCGGGTATGACCACATCTGATTCTATTCATAGGCAATGCCTCTGACTCATAACTAGGAATATTATTACGCTAATGATGATTATGATATATCGGCAAACAGGTTTTCAATGTCTTTGCGTCAAAAATAAACAGAAAAATCAGATCCGATAAACTCTGACGTTTACTAGTAATAATGCAAATTGTTCTGACTTTAGTCTTTAGTTTGTCAAAGCTAAATAAAAGGGTGAACCCCATTAATTAAGTGTTGAGTGATTAAGGACATGCTTAATGTTTGGCTTTCAGCGAGGAATCGATGATAAAAATAATAAGTAACTCTATTAAAGGATAAAAATGTCGGAGTTTAAAAACGCGTATCGTTCGCAGACTTCCCCACGGTGGAAGAAATTCGCTCGTTCCGCGCGGAAATGGAGCTGATGAAGAGTGTGGGCGCTCACCCGCACGTGGTGTCCCTGGTGGGGTGCTGCAGCGGGCGGCGGCCCTTCATAGTGGCGGAGTACTGCGCGCGCGGAGACCTCCTCAGCTACCTCAGGTATACGACCACTTACAATACCGCCCAGCTATCCCACTACTTATACTACTGCTCATGTATCCGAACACTAACAAAACCGCTCAGAAATACGACCACTTATAAATACCGCTCAGGTATCCGATCACTTATAAATACCGCTCAGGTATCTCATGACTTATAAATACCGCTCGGGTATCCCATCACTTATAAATACCGCTCAGGTATCCCATCACTTATAAATACCGCTCAGGTATCTCATTACTTATAAATACCACTCAGGTAACCAATAACTTATAAACACCGCTCAGGTATCCCATCGACATGATAAATACCGCTCAGGTATCCGATCACTCATAGTACTATATGTACCAAAGTATACGACCACCAACAATACCGCACATGTATCCGGCTACTTAAAATACCGACCACCGATCGTCGCATTACTTGTTAATTAACTGTGTTTTGAGGTTCAGTACCCCGAACCTTTTACCACCTGCTTAAATCAAAGTAACGCCACAAATCAAAGTAAAAACAAAAAAAAACAATGGGTAAATTTGGCTGCCCTTTTCTTTCTACGATTCTGTTCTGTAAAATATGTTCTACATGGTATCGCCTTATACGCTATATCAGCTGGGACTACAAAAAAAAAGAGTTTAGTGTAAATTGTTAGTTAATTAGGTTCATTTTCAACAATGACGTAAGGCCACCTAAGAAAGCACAAGTGATAAAAAATCAATGTTTGAAGTAAAGTCCTACGTGTGAAACTTAATATATTATTGTCAGCCATGTTTTATAAATTAATATGCCTAGTCAGGATACTGCATAACTTAATTTAAACTTTTTGTAGCCCATCTCAAGTGGCGATACCGACTTTTAGTAAGTAAAACAAGTATATCATTTTAGATGTTCCTGGGACGTCATGGTGTCTAAGCGTAATGCTAAATACTACAACAACAACATAGAGAACTCAGAATATCGTAACGACTTATTCAAATGCAAACCGCAGACAGAACACTTCAAGCTGGTTGTTAACAAACTGTACGATCTCCAGGGAATATGCGACATGGAACTCACGACGAGAGATCTTCTCTCGTTCTGCCGACAGATCGCAATGGGCATGGAGTTCTTGGCCTCCAATAGAGTGGTCCATAGAGATCTAGCAGCAAGAAATGTTTTGGTGGCTAGTGATAGGACTCTGAAAATAGCTGACTTCGGATTATCGAGGGACATTTATGAGGAAAACCAATACAAACAGAAAGGTAACGGCAAGATGCCTATGAAGTGGATGGCGTTGGAATCTCTAACTCACAGGATATACACAACTCAAAGCGATGTGTAAGTTTTGTACAGCTATTCTATTTTTATTATGTTTGGATGATAATGACATATCATAATTGAGAATTGGTCCAAATTTAGGTCGTGGAAAATGAACGCGGTTAATATATAGCGTCAACACCGCTGTACTAGCATTGTAAATGATGAATAGGGAGAAAGGACAAATAACATTTTACGTAGAATTATCGGGGCATGGTTAGTGATAATGATTGGTAATGCAACCCGGACCAACAGCTTGTCTTGTGAAGCACAGAGGAGCTCGGGATAATAAATTTTAGTCACCCATTCACTGATAAGTCTTTATAGAGACACTACTGACATAATTTATATTTAGCGCTAGGTTCTTTTAATATTTTGTAAGTTTTTTTTTTGACGTTCATCATGGATCATAAACGTGTTAAGATTTTAAAATGGAATTCGGTGTAGCGTCCCTAGCACACCAAGAACTACAAATCTCTCAATGTGGATTGGAGGGTATTAACGACTGCAAATGCAGCGGGGTCCGTACCTTACGAAGCACGGAATAGCTAGAGTTAATATTTTTTTGGTCAACCAACTCGTGACTGACCCTTGCGAAAATTGCTTAATAAGAATGATTAATAAACGCTTAATCGTTAACGTAAAACTTACATTTACCACTCTGGTGGTCAGTTTTATTATAATATGCCCTGTAGATGCACAGGAACTCTGCACAAGTCACGTGCACGTGCATTAGAACATTTATATTATATAGAACGTGGCGTAGTGGTACTCTCAATATCCTAAAGTTGCCACGGAAGACCAGCGTCGAGCTGTCTAAGACATCCGACACATGATATGTTGCACCTTTTCAGTGTCATATTATTGTAATTTATCCGTTTCGTTTTACTTTTCTTGTATGATCGATCACTGAATAAATAATTGTCTTTCTTTGTAGATGGTCGTTCGGCGTGGTGATGTGGGAGGTGGCTAGCGTGGGCGGCAGCCCGTACGCGGGCGTGGCGGGCGCGCGCCTGCCGCGGCTGCTGCGCGCCGGGTACCGCATGCCGCGCCCCAGCCACTGCCCGCCGCAACTGTACGTACGAGTATTCGCGCACAAGTATTATAGCACCCGTAAATTGCTGATGCGCTGGAATCTTGCCTAGATAACACCCGCCATATATGACGTCATATGAAAATAGAAAGTATAGATAGAACAAAAGGCGAGAATTATTATTGTAATATTTATGATCTCCAAAATATTGTTAAAATAATTTAATAAATCTAAGTGCATGAATTTTTGGTAAACAATCTTTTTATATGTAGATATTAAGGTATATGTAGATGGAAAGCACAGTTTTTCAAACACAACAAAAAGTAATAAATGAGAGACATTAGATATATTATTTATTAGTGAAATTATGTTTACTTATTGAAAAAATCGTAATAAGTTATTATTTTAGTCAACCATAACAAGTAACAACAAACTTAACAATAACAATCAATAATCAACAAAATCATAACAACAATGAAGTGTGACCTCATCACAACCCAACTCAATAAGCGTACTCTTCAACCAGCGTTTATTTGTTAACGGTACTGATTTTTCAACGCAATTACGTCATCAAAATGGCGGCCAGGCGTTAGTGATTTGCGGGGATTATATCTACTACTAATATAACATACAGCGTCCGCGTGCCGAGCACGAGCCGTGCTTACGGGCGACATGTCCAGCCTACTCACATTTAAAATTTTGCAACACATTTAGAACATCGCTGACTTTGTTTTGTTCTTGTACCCATTCGTTGGTTTTACGGTCTCTCGAAGTAACCCCTACTAGTTTCCTCTCAATCGCTCTTTGGGTTACCTGAAGTTTTTGGAGGATCTTCATAACAAAATCCAAGGTCTCAGCTCCGTACGTTAAACAGACAGTATAGTAAGTATAGTATAGTAAACAGACTAGCGAATTAATCTAGGTTCACTTTCCATATTTCTTCTTTTATTTTGAAGAACCCTTGACGGATTTAATTACCAAAAACACTGTAGCAGATATTTATTCATTAGCCCAAAAAAGTAAATTGGACAACCTATTTAATCCCTTTTTAGAGACGAAAGTAAACCTTTGTACTTTTCCAGGGTCAACTCTTTCTCTCTATCAACATTAAAGTCCGTTCAGTAGATTATGCATAACAGGCAGACAAGAGTTACTTGGGTTATTTAAAATTCTGATGGGGATTAAAAACAACAAACCTTAAAAATCAAAATTGGAATAACTATATTAAAAATGTATTGAATTGTGTTGTAGCTACGAGCTGATGAGTGCATGTTGGCAAGCTCACCCTCGGTCGCGGCCGACGTTCGGCGAGCTGCACGCGCGCCTGGACGAGCTCCTCAACCGCGCCTGCGCCGGCGACTACCTGCGCCTCGACCCCGACCTCGACGCGGCGCCGCCCCCGCACCTGCCCGCGCACAAGTACGTGCGCATGATCATCCGGTAAGTACCGCCCCCGCACCTGCCCGCGCACAAGTACGTGCGCATGATCATCCGGTGAGTACCGCCCCCGCACCTGCCCGCGCACAAGTACGTGCGCATGATCATCCGGTGAGTACCGCCCCCGCACCTGCCCGCGCTCAAGTACGTGCGCATGATCATCCGGTGAGTACCGCCCCCGCACCTGCCCGCGCACAAGTACGTGCGCATGATCATCCGGTGAGTACCGCCCCCGCACCTGCCCGCGCACAAGTACGTGCGCAAGATCATCCGGTGAGTGCCAATTAATGACCGCAGTAATTGTAACTTCTATAGCATGTGCCAATATGGCAAAATATGGCGAATCTTCTCTTGCTCAGAGCAGACCTACCAATGTGGTCAATGATCGATCGCTGTTTCTACATTCTTCTTGTCGGACGTCCACTGTTTCATATTTCCATAACTATATAAATATATGTAATATCGTTTGATATTTATTATTATATATTTTACTTAACACAGAAGCAAGTTGGGATGGACACGAGGAGAGACATACGAGCGGCCATTCCGTGCGGTTCAGAGCAACCACTACTCATCGCCGCCCGCCTCACTAGTCCGAGCACCTGTCTCGTGATAACATTGAAGAATAAGTGTTTGGTGTTACTGTAGTTGATTTATATTGGTTTGATAACAAAATAAACCAGAAACTGTTCAAGATTAGGTATCGTAAAATTTTAAATGTAATAATTTACTTGGGCCTTGTCGAAAAAAGCAAATAACTATTCTCGCACATTACGACTCGATATCATTAATGCTTCAAGCGTTTTATTTACTGGACAAGGTCCTTTGTATGAAACATACACGAATTAATATCGTAGCCCCTCTCACGAACGATTACAAATACACTTAACGTGTGCAAAGTGGATGAAAATGCTATTGGTTATTGGTTACCCTTCGCTGCCAAAATTAATTAATACTTTCAAACTAGGACAATAGCTTACCAATCACAAAATATCAAGCTTTTGTTGATATCGAATTTAATCTTCGATGGAATAATTTATGAAAATATATTTTAAAAGTGATTATGTCTATACAATATTGATTGAATATATAATGGCGTGTAAACTACAATATATGAACTTATAATGTAATACAAATATTTGTAATCAACTAAGTCTTATAAGACGACGGTCTTGAGTGTGCACGATTGATCTCTTTAGTCATGTTTATATTTGTGATGTGCCTTCAACAGGGCTGTGCCTGAATGAGATAATGTGATAGTAAGATAAGATAAGATATTATTGAGGTCACCTATCCAACAGAATTAAAAATGGCTTCCAGTATCATAAGAAACCAGTGGCAGAATAGATGACAATAGTGGTCTCTTGGCACTACACTTTTAATACTGTCTTTTAAATGCTTCTAAAAACTAATTCGACAGAAGTAATCCTATTATATCATAGTATATAGTAGTATAATACTTTTCCAAAAAGTAACACTCGTGCTCTGTTGGATGAGAGACATTTAATGTTCAATAATATATAAGATTTATTAGTTTTATATTTTCCATACAGGTGTTAATGTAACAGTATTTCATGAATATTCTCAAGGAACTTATATTGAAATATAAAAATCTATCTTTGACTTCCAAGAAAAAAGATCAATTATATCTCGATAATCTTCCTTTGGATAAAGTTTTTTATAATTATTAGAAGAATCCAATCCCGAAAAATTACTACTCGTTCTAGTTAACATGACACCTGGCTCGGAACTTGACACCCCCGCGACACCCCGCCGTCGTCTTTCAGTAGCGACAGCATAACAGATAACGTTCTATACGCGTCTTTGCGCTTTTAAATTTTCAACAGAATTATATTTTGAAATAGAATTATATCATATTTAATGGAAATTATTTACTTAACAAAAATAATTACAATAGCAGCAAACTATATGTAAGTGATATGTCTGAAATAGAAGAAAAATTATAATAACAAAAACTGCGTAAAAATTAACTCATAATTATTTATTTAAGCTTTCTTTCCGTCGATATAAAACAGTTTAAATTAATTCACCAATAGCACCAAACATTAAGATACCACTTTGCCACTATGCCACTTTCTGTTACCGAAATCTACTCTGATTTCTTTTGTGAATTTGGTATATCTATTGTAAATTTGAGTTTGATAAAACATCGCGATATTTTAATTAGAAAATATAACATTACTACAAGTTACTATGCAAGTTAAAAAATATTTAGGAAAAAGTTTAATTTTTTTTTCAACAAATAGATCCGACCTCACATATATATAAGTATTATTTTTCTTTTTTTTAAGTTGGAACCGCAGCTCGTGCAAGCACACTATCGCCCGCAGCTTTTTGCACCCAATAACTTCTAGCCAGGTGTCATGTTAACTCGAACGAGTGGTACTATACATTATTGAGGTAGTTGTCCGACCGCTGACAATTCGCGAACAGAATCAAAAACACTCTTAAGTTGGCGAGAAGCAAATATTATAGTTTCAATACTTATGTCCAAAGAGTAAAGTATATATATGGTTTTGTCAAGTGTGCACGACAGGCGATCAAGGCAAAGTAATGGAGGACTTACTAGTTCTCATCGGTAATGTTAATAGACGAAGATTACCTGTATATATGTACTCGTCTCCTTTACTGACAAGAAATATATATCTTTTATTCTTAATGGAGAACAGATTTATTCGCTTCTTCAGTCAGTTGATCAACTCCCTAATTACATTCCTGTATATCGTGTCATAATAAACAATGTGTATTAATTTCCTAAGAAAACAGGGTAGAAATGTAAATTAGTTTTATATAATGCAAAGATATTCCAAATGAATTTTACTTTTTAAATGTTATAAATGTTTACTAAATAAAACATATACTTGAAATAAATCATATTTATATTATTTATACATTTCACAATGATATAACTTATTCTAAATACAAAAATATCCATATCCATCGTATCTCCACATCACGTGACGCCTGTAATTGCCTTCGTTTGGTTCGGCGTGTCCCAAGCTGTGTACAATCAATCTTCAGGAACTATATCGAATTAAAAATAATTATTTCAATGACCAAAGTTTGGGACGCGCTGAACCAGAACATCACCTCGTACCATTACACACGGGACGTACTCAAAAGTGAGCAAAACATAAGAATGATTCATAAATTTCTCTAACACTAACTCGCTTAACCGTTTATGATATGGCTATAACCAATAAATCATTCTATAATTTATTTTAACCGTATCACACAAAATTCATTATCTACATGCCGTTTAAACATAATACAGTTTAATTTGGAAAGGTAAATAACGCAATAAACGTAAAATATTTATAAAAGTTATCTACAAAGAGCGATTTTGATTGATAAGAATTTTCTGACGAAGCCACTTTGTATATCGCACTCCTAGATCTAAACTAAGACAACTCAAAAAACTAATGTGGAGGTCTGGCAATACATTTGTTTACGTGGCAGGAGCTCGACCACTGATAATTCAACAAAAGCAAGCTCAAGTTATGTAGCGGCTCATCCCCTAACCTTTATTGAATCTGTTATGTTGGATAGATGCGTATGATCACAGAGAATTTGAATATTGTACTAAGTTAAAACTCAATCAAATTTTTGAGTTGTCTCAGTTTAGATCTAGGTGTACGATATGTTATGGTCAGATTTTAGAATTGACCACTTCTTGACGTAGCGAGGCAGTTCATAAAATGGCCATAATATGAAAAGAAAACAAAGACATCTGTGTTTTACCAGATAAGATCTTTTTTGAAGTCAGTATTATTTTTTGAAATAGATTTTGTTTACGTGATTTCGTGATATTTTTTTTAGTTCTAACAAAGATAATCTATGCTAGAAATGTATTAGAGCGAGAAGTACTCTTCCCTATTACGCCGAAGCGCGCTCGTTCGCGTACGTTATCACAATTTAAATTCTATACAGCTTGTCTAGTAATATACATGAAAACTTTTAGAAAAAAGGTTAATAATACATTAAACTAAATGATTTTTTAATTATAAAACCGAGAATCTAAAAAGCGATGGAGTTACGAGACGTATTTAAACGAAACATTTAAACCCATCATGAAGTGAACGAATTCCTAAACCTGCCCTGCAATTCTGTAAGAATCCAAACCCGAATTCAAATCCACTTCAAAAGCTGCATCCGCTCATGCTTGAATTGGTTATAACATTTCGTGGCATCAGTGAAGTGAGTTTCCAAATGATATAGGAATAGAATACTGAGACACGTGTTTGTATAATTCATCAATTTTGTTTTGTATTGTTGTACAAAAAATGGAATCAATAGAATTTCTTCACTAAAAGACGTGAATTCGGACACATGAGTGAATTCTAATTCAGGTTCGAATTTTTACAGAATCGCCCTGCTGGTCGTGATATAAATATTGAAAAGACTTATATAGATTGTGGGACTTTAAAAAAATAAAAAAGAAAAATAATCTTAAAACTGTATGTGACTACAGAATTACATTTTGCGCAAAATTATTAGCACATCCAGTGCAACAAAGAAGTTACAATTTTATATTAAAAATATATCACCGAAATTAATACATTATAACTATATCACTATTTTTTTTATTAAGAATAACAAAAAACATCCAGAAATAATGTCGATTCAAAGTAGAATAGGCATACTATTTATAGGAATGGCAAGATAACCTAATAATAATGATCTTTTAAAAATTATGAATTAATTTTCAAATGGAGTTACTCTCTTATGTGGACTACAATATATATTCGTTGAAAAAAAAACATTGATCCCGATAATTGGAACTGAATTTATAAAAAAAAGAAGCTGAGATACATTAGGCATAGTATCATTATTCTAATGCAAACATATTAAGCAGGTTATAGCAGACATGATCGCATAATAAAGAGACAAATATTAGCATCGCAGCGTAAAGAATTGGAATTTTAAAATATCTGTTTCTGTTTAAATGTATATATTAGACTCACGTTCTAAACGGACGAGTATTTCGTTTCATACGTTTCGTGTATATCTAACATTTTTTATACAAAAGTGTGAATTCTACTCCGATATATCATTATAAAACTTACATCTACAACATAAAGGATTACAAGTATATAATGTACATTATATATTGTGCCTACTGAGGCGAGATCAACAGCGCTCAACAGACGGGTAACAAAGCTAAACATAAACAAAATATATTGCTGTAGTCTCTACCCATTCGCAATCCAACTTCTAAAGACGTTATAATCAGACGCTTAAGCGTTACTGTTGCGCTTCTAAGTCACAGATATACCTATATTCGATACCTCCGACGTAAAACATCGTAACTGCGTTAAAAATTTACAATACATCGTAATAAAAATTTTCAAACAGAGCTATTTATGAAGCTTGAAGGATATTTGACTACATAAATGGCCATAAACATTTTGATAATCTTTATTTCGATGTACTGTAAAGTTGGTAAAAATTATACAATTTATATTGTAGTTACGGTATTATACGTGCCAAATTAACAATTGCATGCGATTATACATAATGACAGGCGTGCGAATAAAATACTTCTATGTGAAAGCGCACTTACTATTAATTAATTTATATAAATAAATATGTAAATATTCAGCTTTACATAGCTAAATGCATTTACACATAATACACAATGGACTTTGGCAGACAATACTACTGTTTCGGGATGTGACATTATATCATATGAACTCAGATTGAGTAATAAATAGTCATAGTATGATTTTATATCTATTTTTACATAAGTACATGCTGTGAGTTCTTGTAATAATGAAATTATATTATAATATTAATATATGCACACAACATAATTTTTAAAATTATATGTAGGTATGTAATTTAGGTGGAGTATCTTGTTTAACCATATGCCATTTGGTATGAGGGTAATTTTTAATAAAAAAAAACGTTTTATCAATGAACAATGAAAATATCTAGTTATAAAAAAATTATATAATATTATATAAGCTGTAAAAGTCTTAAGTAATCATTCCGATTAGTTTAATTCAATTAATGAACTAAAAATCACATAAATTTCACATAGCCGGAAATCAAAAACACAATCGCTCAAGCCCCGACACAATACAAAAATTTCTTTTTCTATAATTGCACCCAATATCCTCAGTGAATGCGTCGTACTCGCACTAAGGCAACTGAAGGTTTTATTCCTTCTAACATCGTATAGTTCCAATATAATTTACACTTAGTTTGACAATCTAATTAAAAAACTATAACATGATAGAGTAATCGCCATCTATTTCTTTTTATTGCATAGAAACATTATATACTAGAGCGAGAAAAACGAGCAAAATGCCCATGGATATATTCAGTATGCTAAAACTATCTTGATCTCTCTTTAAATACACAATAACAATAATATTTTAGAATAGTATCTTCCCTGTTCTTTATACAGACATTAAATATGAAAGGGAACTTTAAAGGGAATATACAAAGAGGAGTCACCAGCTCCTAATTGATATTTCCATTATTATTGTGAATAAAACAATTAAAAGAGAAATACTTTCTCATTTTTTTTACAATAAAATAAAAATAAATTTATTTAAAACACAACAGAAAAATAAGGGCATAGATCTGCAGAAATTAATAGTCGTCTCTATAAGGTTGTTTTGAAAATAGCTATTTTGAGAAGTATTTTTTAATTGGCGCATACAAGTGTATTATGAATTTACACTCTGACAATTTACTACTTAAATGCTGGAAGCTTAGCAAATATAATACTTTTGTATCGAAATAGTGAATATGTTCAATACGTAATATGTACTTATGCCCATTATACAACTGCAATTTAGTTTCAGACTTGTCACGACTTTGTTCAGATTAATTTTTAGGACAACGCGAAATATAGTTACAAGATATGATGACCTCCGTAACTTCATTTTAGCACAAATTGTGTAAATTTTAATGTTTGGAATTTAAGGGCAATTCATAAATTTATACTTGCTTGAGTTACAATATTTTACCATATCTATGTTGAAATGTAATCATGTTACCTTATTACGGGAATATTTTAGAAACTAAACGCCCGGCGCTAGTGTCTTATTTAGAATATGAGCTCATAACTATATTTTGACATGCCTAAGAATACCGCGACTTGTATAGACACAGCAAAAGCTCTTAGCGACTTCATATCGTGCATCATCGGCTCTCGGTGTAGTGCAAAGTAAGTGAAGTGTAGTGTAATTGATTGTAGTGTAGTGTATAGCTTACGCGTATGTGGGCGAGGGGAGAGGGGAGGGGGGTCAATCTATTGGCGGCGGCTGTGCGGGAATGTTCGACGGCGGCGCTGTTAGATAACCCGCTGTATGTGGAGCACCTGTTACGACAAAAATCAATGTAAACAGCAAATAATCCCAATTATAATTTCACATAAATACAAAGTTAATTTGTTAAACACCAACAACCTCTCAAGACTAGAGAGCTGACATCATAAGCAACAAGTCAACATTTGATCTACGACGTGACTAACATAACTCGATGCTTACTAAAACTTGAGCAAGAAATATTTTTCTTTTGATAAGTTTTTTTGCTGTCCTAATATTTAAATGTATGTTTTATTATATATAGGACATATAGAGAATATAAAATTAAATTTTATTTTTGTAAGAGAGTAAAATGTAACGAAATGGAAACACGCGACTAACAGCCAATTGCACGAAGGTCCATAAAATTATTCATTAGTTTAAAGCGACATTATCCATACAAATTTGACATTCATTAGAGCTTAAAGGCGTCATTAAACCTTAATGGATGTATGTGCAACTGACGTTGAGTATAATATGACAACAGACGCTGCTGTATAGAAGACGGTAGCAGTGCATTTGACATTTATTAGAGCTTAAAGGTGTCATTAAATCTTAATGGATGTATGTACCACAGACGCTACTGTATAGAAGACGGTAGCAGTGCACTGACCGGTGAGGGAGGGGGGCGGCGCGGGGGCGGATATGAACAGGTCGTGCCGCTGCGTGGCGTACTGCTGCCACACGCGGCTACGCGCCAGCAGCGAGCGGACGCGTTCCCCGTGCGCCGGAGAACGCGACATCGCCTTCAGAGCACCCACCAACTGCGCGGCCGTGTGCCCTTCGAGACGACCCTCCAGCAGCGTGAGCAGTTCCGAGATCAGATCCGTTTCCAGTGCCTGTATAATTATGAAACGTTCGATTATGACGATAACTAAACAGAACGAATAATTAGTCTTATTTAACGAAAATAAAATTACGGTGTAAAATTACTTTTCACTCACACTCAGCCTGGTTTAGGGTACAGATCGTTCAACAATAGTTGAAAGATTTAAGGTAGCAGAAACCATGTATATCTGATCTTCGTTGTTAAAAAAACACTATTTGAAAGGCAATGTGACGAAGTTAAGCACACAGAGCCATCGTTGGTGTACATTAACACCTAGACCCAAATACTAGCTAATCGGTGCCACATTATAAAAATAAAAATTCATCATTTTAACGATAAGCTGCAAATAAGTAATGAAAAGTCTTTATTGCTGTTAACAGAGCAAAAATATTATCACAATGACAAAATAATATATAAATTATAATAAAAAAAATACCTGTGAAACGAGCCGGTCCGTATTGACGTTAGTATTGAATATGGTGGCGAGAGCTTCGCATGCGCAGCCGACTACATCGCGGCTCGCCTTTATAGCGCCCTTCAGACCCGCCATCACGTCCGTTTGACATAACGCCACTACACACGCCTGGAACACAAACATATATTCAACATATTTAATTATCAATAAGAAAATGATTAATTGCCTCAAATTACAAAACTTTTTTAACCACAGAAGCAAATGGTACAAGCTGCTGCTCCTACTCAATGCTGATTTTTAACCACACTTCTTTTGAGCCCAAACGGTCAAATGTGAGCATTATAAAATTTTATAAATCTCACATTTGACCATTTGGGAAAGAAGTGTGGCTAAAATTTTACAACAGTCATTGAAAATATCTTCATGGTGAAAATATTTTAAAATAATTTGGAATCAGAGAGCAGCGAATCCGTTAATTACTTGATTGCCGGTGTGCCTCAAGGCGGCGTTTTTCTCCTCTTCTTTTTCCTTATTTATCAATTTTCTCACATCCACCCTTTCAACCTCATCTGTACGCTGATGATTTGCAATTGTGTATATATAGATATTGTATTTTTTATATACTATGTGTGTTAAACTTAGCAGTACATTATTAGAAACTATTTTTATAAAGATTGCTATAATCATAGTTTGATTTTTCGAACTAATTACGCGATTTTGAGTACTAATTTATCAAATCAAAATATGTCCTAAGAATCCACATTATTACAACTCATCAGTTATTTTTTAAATATGTTATTATTTGGCTGACTGCACCACTGGCCACTCACACAAACTCCCTATATAATTACAAGTATTACCTGCACATACCGCGCTGTGCACAGTTGCGTCTATGACAGTATGTAACGGTGTGCCCTACCACCGTTTATTTTGTCCTAGGTTTCCGCATGCAAACTGTTTGTCTTTGATATTCAACATCATTTCTTTTTATTATTCACTTTTCGTAATTTGAAATTTTGACTAATCAAATATACTCTTTATGGATGTCAGTTCGTAAATAATTCTTCTGTTGTGAATATTGTAAATCGTATAAATTTAAATATAAAAATATTATTAATGAAGATATGTTATTAAAATAAAATGACAAATTAAAAAAAATAAAAGTTTATCCTGAAACTTGGATGATCCAAGTTCTTATCAAGAAACCCAAAAAAGGGTTTCTTTTCTTTATCCTTTATCTTTTATATAAATTAAATCCATACTCAAGCTAGTCTTTCATTAATAGCCTTTCATTAATATGGATGACGACAGGGTAAAAAAAATACAATTTTATTTAGTCCGTCAGTCAGATAATAGAAAAATATTAGATACGTATTTTTTTTACTTCAATTTAACAAGAAATAGTTTAGATAACAGACATTAAGTTGAGAAATGGGGGCTCACTACGTCACAGTTTAGTAGAAAACGTACCATAACGTGACGTCATGCGAAATTTCAACTCCATGTATCACCGTAATTTTCTGATTAGGAAAAAAATAAAAAAATACGTGTTTAATATTTTTCACCACTCTACCTGACGTCGTCATCCCTATTAGTCGAAGCACCGTACCCGTAACAAGTGTACGCACCTGCGTGTGTACGAGCGCGGCCAGTACGGGCACGCAGTGGTCGGGGCAGGCGGGCAGCAGGCGCGCCAGCCGCGGCAGCTCCCCCAGCGACGCGCACGCCTCCCCCAGCGCGGGCCGCGCGCGGACCAGCGCCGCCAGCGCCGCCGCGCACACACTACCGCGGCTGCCCTGTATATATATATATATTATTGTATACTCTTTATTGCACCAAAAACTAAATTAACATAACAATAGTAGGTAAATCACAAGCAAGGGTGGACTATCTCTATAAGAGATGTCTTCAAGCCAACCAGACGGTGGCAGATCAAGCAGTAACGGGAGGTGACAAGTGCATAATTGTAAAATTTAATGTGAATTAATAATAACATAAATACATGTAGGCATGATATAAAAAAAATTGTATATATTGTTGAGCGTTGTCAATTCTTTCTCGGATAATAAAGTATGCTATACTTTTTTAGATAGGAACATTGCAAACGACAGATTTATAATCGAACGGGCTCAAATTGTACCGCGAATAACTAACGAAGTACCCCCGGATTTAATACAGTGTACAGTGTATGTCCTCGGTGACTAAATACTGTACACTGAGTGTGTGGCATTTGATCACTTATTCTTACTTGAATGTTAATATTAATGAATGTGAAATATGTTGATGGAGATTTATTTAGACGCTAATAAAATTTGTTATCGTGTTAAATAATTGCCTTGGTGTATAAATAAACAAGGCACATTGTTTATTGCACATTTTAATGAAGTACAATAGCATAATACATACCTCTGAAGAATCTTTAGCTAGCGAGGATAGAGTCTCCGTAAGTAATTCCTGCAAGAACCGCTTGGGACTGCGCAGGGCCCAGTGCGGATGTTGCAGGAACAGCTTCAAGTATACTCCCCCCACCACCACCTCCCCGGGGGGAGCCCACTCCGCTCCAGCCGTTCCATTAGCGGCTCGCTCCATTGTCTCCCGATCTTCGAATGTTGCATTAGGATCGCGGAGTTGCGTCGACTGATGCCTGATAAACAATATAAAAAGATAAGAGTACTTGTACATAGATGTGTTAGGCAGGATAGATAGAATATATTTAAATAATCCTGCTTTTAAAATCAAACCAGTAGTTTGAGTATCAATTACAAACAAACAAAAACACCATTGGGTTGGCTACTTGACTGTTTGGGGGGAGAGTATTTTAAAACTTATTTTATGATCATATTAAACCACTCTCAAATTTATTTTTCTCAAAAAGTATAAATAAATAAGAGAAAAACATTTTTATTCGTGTATTCATAAATTTAGGGATATTTTCTCGTGTCCAAAGTCATGTGACATTTCGAGCTGTGACATCACATCTCAATAAACATGAGTACTGGTTGCATTGGCAACAAAGACTTTTTGGTTCTTGTAAACTATAGATTAAGTTAATTTGCCAAAACTTTAACTTAGAATTTTAACTAAAGATTTTACTTAGAATTTATTTCAAAATAAAAAATACTACATTTTGTAATTGACATATGAGTTACCATTTTCCCATTTTGACCATTTATTAGTCAAAATGGGAAAATGGAGGAATATTAGTTACCATTTTGATTATAACTGTAGAGTAGTCAATTAGTATAAATAATTAGTTTACCTATCTCGTAGCTGCGCGAGATGCATAGCGACCCTGAGTCTGGTATCATCGCTCCACACCAGTTCGGGGTGTTCATGTTGGGCATCGAACATGTGCACCGCACTCGCCGCCGCCCCCTCGCGCATCGCCTCAGCGAACACGCCGGGCATATACCGGGATATCGTTAGCCTTACCTAACCAAAACATAAGTGACGTGTATCGAACAGATTGGTATTGAAAAGGTTAATATATCACAGAACACAGAAAGACGTTAGAAGGGCCTTGTGGGCGTGGCAGTGTAGCCACGATCCTGGACAAATGTACAGGATCGTGACTTCACCACGCGATCGCGATGTTTAGTCATTCACGAACGCGCGCGCTGTAAGTACTGTGAAACACGCCACTAAAAGTGTTAAAAATGCCGACTTGCGCAGTTATTAATTGCAAAACAAGAAGCCCATCCTCAAGTTGGTCCAAAGGAAGGATTTCTTTCCATTAGTAAGTAGAACACTTCTCAAATTTAGTATTTTTAGTCGAAATTCGTGAAATGTTATCAAAAGTGTGAATCACAAAAAATATTTCCAAGAAAATATACATTGCTGGAGAAGTGCGCATATTTATTACATTGCGTCGTACTAAGCACGTAATGTAAAGAACATCGCGAAATCACCGTTTTAAATAGCAACATAATAGATTACGGTAGATGGGTAGTGAAGTGCCTGGAAACATTTAATCGATTCTTGGTATGTTAGGTAGTAAAAACTAAATAAAAGTATGGACGATAAAAATAGTGGTAATAAAAAATAAATTTAATCAGAGATTAACCATATTGACTTCGTTTGGTATGCGTTTGTATATTAATTTAATAATGAGTGTGGTAATAAGTCTGTTTTTATATTCTTAATATTGTAACAGAAAACTAGTTTTTTTTTATTATTTTGAACCATTAACAACAATACTTTTTAAATCATCGGAATCCGTTCAGGATAAGTTCCAATAGCATTTATTGTACTGATAGTATTTTTTTTATTTTGTATATATTTATTTACATTATATTGTTTGTCAATATTACTAGTTTCATTTAAGCGATGTTGCCGATCTTATCTGTTTACTTGATACGAAATCGAGTAACGTAACGTAAAAAAAAACCTACTATTATTATTAATAAACAAACATATTTATATGCATAAATATTTAAGCTCGACTAGTACCGATTCAATGTTAGTTCATTGGTAATTTAAATATTTCTTATTGAATCAACCAACTAATTAAGAATTTATATCTAAAGAAAAAAGATAATGTCTCATTTAATCAATACAATTCAATGTATATCCAATATAATATAAAGAAATCATTACTCTAGTATCCTTTCAATTAATCGACTTGTTGTTTTTCAATATCGATAGTAAATAACTTTATGTCAATCACTAGTGTGATATGTCAAATTAAAATGGCTTTTACACGTTTATTGCGCACTATAGATGTCTGTTATGGTTGAGCGTGATTGGTTATAGTTATATTGGAGCGTTCTGATTGGCATGTTTAAAATACAAGTGTGTGCATATCTTTTGTATAATTGGTCTAATTATTCGTCTGATGTACGGCGGACTAAAAGTGGGGCAAGACTGGCTACATCGGTTTTCGTACAAAGGATGCATGATCGCCTTTCTAACCTCTTTTCCGTGTTCTGTGATATATAGTACTAGCTGATCGGACAGACATTGTGCTATCTTAATTATGTAATTTTCCAGTATTCTGTCAATTCTATGTCAAACGTTGTAAGGTTATATTAAAAAAGTTTATAGTATCCAAAGCACTAAGATTGGATTAGAAAAAAAATATGGTGGTTATTATATTCTTAAGTTTTAAAATTTTCCACATAATTTTTATTTTCTTTCATAAGAACCTTCTAGTGTCCGACTAAAACTGGTTTTTACAACCGAAACCGAAACTTCCTTACAAAGATCATATTTTAAGAGAAAAATAAAGAAAAGGTTTTTAGAATCAGTCAGGCTTTATTTTCTTTTCTTTAAATCACGAAGCTATTCAGTCTTAGACATTTTCATCATGATAATCAACATACTTAACAACCCCTCAATCCCCTCATTAAAGGAACAAATAATTGTGCTTTTAAAGTACTAAAAATAGATGAGGTGTTTATTTGAGCAGTTAGATTATCCAATCAGGTTTTTTCAAAAAAAAAAAAAAAGTTAAAATTACTTGTTTAAGTATTTCACATCACAATAAGAACTTACCAATTAAGTAATAATCAAAACAAAAAAAAATATTTGAGTCCAATACAGTATTGTATCGAGTCAAATCCATTCGAATCGCGTTTTCAGTAGATAAAATCGGACAAAGGGTTTACTACGAATACGAACAATATTCATTTGATCACGGAAATGTTTTTCGGAAAATGTCTTATCCATGTTCTTCCTTCTAAGAGTATACAAGTGCATACTGTTCTACATACTCTCATATTCTTCTAAGAGCATACAATTACCAAAAATTATTTTAACTACTCCCATCACCGATCATTGCCTCTAAACATACCTTAGGACCATGTAGTTTATCAGCCATCATGCGCGCTAACAGTTCTACCGCAGCCTCTCTCGTTTCAGGGACTTTACTATTGCTAAACAGATCTAATAAATATATCACACCACCTGCAAAAGAAGTTTTAACATTGTTAATATAATACCCTATGAAGGTAATATGATAAATCCACTTCTTAATCCTTTTTATGGCCATTTCCTGATTAATTATTTTTTTCCTAAGTCTATTGACATTTATTTGAAAGTAGTCAAACACTCAGTGTCATACTTACCCTTCGCGAGTGCTTCTCTTACGAGGGCCGTGTTAGCCAGCAGCGCTGCGAGCGCTGCAAGCGCGGCCGCCGCATCAGGCCCGGCTACACGAGCCAGCGGCAACAGCGCTAGAAGGTGACCGAGTACTGCGCTAGCCGCTATGTCCTCCACGCACTCCCGACTGCCCGCGGCCGCACGGACAGCTTGCAGCGCGGCCGATTGGAGTTTAGGCTGCGACCGAGCCGAGAGTAGACCGAAGATCAGACCGAACTGTCCTATACACTGGATTTCTACACCTATAAAACGACATGACGATTGACTCACCTATGTTAGTTATTATATAATATAAAAAGAAGTACTCTTATTTGATAAACTACGACAAACTGAGATAAACTAAATTCATATCATGTTAAAATCGCAAGCATAAAAGAGCATAGACTTGGTCATTAAAAAATAAATATTAATTCAATAAATTAGAACATGTACTTGATCTATGACTATCAAAAGGAAAACAGCTTAAATTGTTAATGGGTAACATACTGGCAATTACTGGCAATTTTGACAAAATACTTATTATCACGCTAATATTTCTAAATTTCAACACTATTACAGAAAAAGTAATCTTACCCGGATTCTTGATAATGACATTAGCAATACCAGTGAGTGCTAACGTTAGGTGTTCCACTCTCTCCGGCGTCATATCCATTTTGGTTTGTTCTTCTATGAACTTCAGTAAGTCTAAAATTAACTGTTGCGGATTCTGTGGAATGTACAATAATAAATAAAGGTTTGTTTCTTGGTTTTCTTCGCTCACCCAAACAATATAAGAAATATTAGATATCTTATAATAAATTCAAAAACCCGAAACAAAAATTCAATAATATTGGATCGTCTTAAAAAAACTGTAATCGAAGTAAAAAGAATACAACTAAAGAAAATAGGAGGAATGTGCTTAATAAAACTAATACAAAATATATTACCTCCACTGGCCAATCAGGTTGCTCATTGTAAATATCAATGTAGACACCACCAACGCACACGAGCCCTTCATGTGCGGAGTAAACGAACGGTTCCACCAATGGAGCATCCTCTTCATCAGACAATCGTGTATTCCGTAACGTGTCCTGTAGTTCCGCACGCGTGCTGTTATCCCATACTAAATAAGGATTCCGCCAGTTCGACGTTAGAGTTTTTAACAACTGTGAACAATGAAATTGTAATTTATTCGAGATTGTTATATATTTATGACTATGACTTATGACTAATGTGCTGGTTACTCTGTACTAATTAAGTGAATGATATTTAAAGAAATCACAAAAAGGAACGGCCCAATAATACATCCCTGAGGTATATCGCTTGTTGATTCTATAAATGAAATTAGATTTTCCTCGTTTTTAAATACGTAATACCTTTATATTTAATAAATTTCGCATTCATACTGAAAAATATTCTTAATGAAAAATACATTTTGAAAACTAAGTGGTTTTTTTAAACGTTTTATCTTAAGAATATTTTTCAGTATTAATGCGAAATTCATCAAATATAAACATAATACAGAAACATAATACCTGTTATTTGCATACTTTTACAGTACGTTTTATCATTAAATATTATTATTTGCTTAGTATATATTCCAAAAATTGTAGGTAAATCATAATATATAGTACCTACACTCAAACTAACAATTGTTATTAACAAATCTACTCCGCTGCTAAGGCAATCTTTGTATCTATTATGCCTTCAACATCTGCTAATCCAGTAAAGACTTTATGTGCCTTCTCATAAAAACCTATCTGACATTCGGTACAGTCTGTTGTCAGCCTTCCTTACCGCCTTAGATACCAGACTGAACAGCACTGACCGCTTTGGCATCAAGCTCCTATCAACAAACAATGTCACTTCTTTTTTTCTTCCTACCATTCTTCCAATTCTATTTAGGATCACCAGTGATCGTCTTCCTCTTCCATTGTTCTCTTTAATATCATAATCCATATGATTCCATCGATGCTTCTCAAGTTTCTATTTACCATTTTGTGTATTTTATTCCGATTCAGTACATATTCTTACAGATTTGACTTGTATTTATCGAAATAAACTTACTTCATGTTGATCCGGTTCCGCCAGTCGTTTACAAAGATACGGTGTAAGTAAGATGTGCAGCGCATCACGTATAAGCTCATCAATCGGCGTTTGCTCTTCGTGCGGACCGTACATTGCCGCTAACGCTATTACACACTGCTTCGCGAGTCGGTTCGCTTCCTCCTAAAACATCAAACGCCATTAAAAACTTAATATCAATACAATATATTAAAGTACTGTATATATAATGTAATACAACACCGTGTAATTAAAATAAAAATATGAAATATCTATTTAAGGCAGTCGTTTAAACGCTAACAAGGAAGCGACTGATTGCTGGCCGTTTTCTACTGCAGCGCGGCGGGCAGCAGCGCGCGCAGCGACGTGTTTGTACATATCGCTATATGACCTGTTTGTTGGCTTGCGGCGCGGCCTCCACGCCGGACTCGGTGAGCGTGTAATCGTACTGCAGCGCGGCGGGCAGCAGCGCGCGCAGCGACGTGTTTGTACATATCGCTATATGACCTGTTTGTTGGCTTGCGGCGCGGCCTCCACGCCGGACTCGGTGAGCGTGTAATCGTACTGCAGCGCGGCGGGCAGCAGCGCGCGCAGCGACGTGTTTGTACATATCGCTATATGACCTGTTTGTTGGCTTGCGGCGCGGCCTCCACGCCGGACTCGGTGAGCGTGTAATCGTACTGCAGCGCGGCGGGCAGCAGCGCGCGCAGCGACGTGTTTGTACATATCGCTATATGACCTGTTTGTTGGCTTGCGGCGCGGCCTCCACGCCGGACTCGGTGAGCGTGTAATCGTACTGCAGCGCGGCGGGCAGCAGCGCGCGCAGCGACGTGTTTGTACATATCGCTATATGACCTGTTTGTTGGCTTGCGGCGCGGCCTCCACGCCGGACTCGGTGAGCGTGTAATCGTACTGCAGCGCGGCGGGCAGCAGCGCGCGCAGCGACGTGTTTGTACATATCGCTATATGACCTGTTTGTTGGCTTGCGGCGCGGCCTCCACGCCGGACTCGGTGAGCGTGTAATCGTACTGCAGCGCGGCGGGCAGCAGCGCGTGCAGCGCCCCGGCGCGGGCCAGCAGCGCGCGACATGTGGCCGACGCTGCTAAAGCCGCCACCGCCTCCGCGCCCGCACAAGCGCAATCCGCTAGGTGCTAGAGATCAATTACCATATGTAATACAGGGTACGAATCTTCTGTTTTCATTTACACTTTCACAATTTTGGACACCCTTTATTTTATATTAAACAGAATACCTCACGTAGTCTTGTACATCAACAATTACGTGAATTCTATGGCTAATAATAACAATTAGAATATTTCATATACATACCGAACATGCAGCCATTTTGTATATAAGGTGTAATATTATTATATACCACTACTTCGTGGAGTGGATGTGTTAATTATACTGAACGACTTTTACTATGGGAAAAACAATTAATTTACGAAAAAATAATTAGCTTGTAGGTATTTACCTACCTAGATTGTAGATACTACAATTTTATATGAAACAGCTGAATAGTTTTTTCATAAATTCATTGTTGACCCCATAGTAAAAGTTGTTCAGTATAATTAACACACCCATCTGACCGGGTTCTGACATGTAATAATATTACACCTTATTATGCATTTGAACATCCAAATACAGATGAAAATATGAAATAAATAGAAAGAACAAACAAAAATACTATAAAAATACAATCGATATTATGTATATTAGGTAACGTAGACGATATATTTACCGGTCTCCTGAGCAACGGCACTAGATCGTGGCACAGTAGCGGCATGCCGGCGCACACGTCCCTGCACGCCTCGAAGGTGGCGGCGACGGCGAAGCAGCGCGCGCAGTGGGCGCACACCGCCGCGCCGATGTCGCCGGGCCGCGTGCGCTCCGACAGCACCGGCACGCAACGCGACATCGCCTCGTGCAACACCTACGACCGCAATGTTTATCATAACGCGGGGGAAATGCATCTTAAACCTCAGACCAGGGCTCTCCGACCACCCCGTCCAGAAAAAGACAGGTTAATGTGGAGGGTCTACGGATTCGATCCCCACACTCGTATGCTTGCTTGCTAAGGGGTGAATTTACTCTAAGAAGTGCTAAATAAAACCAACCCGTTTGAATGCTGTAAAAACACTGATTTATTTTAAAATTAGTTGTCCAACGAAAATAAAAGTGCAGCGTAGCAATTGTAGGTATGTAGGTTATTGTGTAATTTATTATATTAATATTAATTAGTTCTAAGTAGGTACATTGGCTCGTACAGAGGGCCTACCCGCTGTTCATTCATCGTAAAGCGTTACAACTTTAACCAATAAACAATAGCGATTTTCGACGTCCCCAAACATGCACATCGTACCGGTTGCGGAGGAGCGGGGAAGTGGATGGTTAAAATAAAGACGTGGATCAGCTTGAGGTAAACACAATATTCGCGAGTGAAAAATTTTAATGTAATGCGTTTATTATGTAATAAAGAATAATTTTAAATGATTTTTCAAAATTACACTAATACCCTACTCATAGGTATATTCAAAAATTCTATTATAAACGTTGGTATAAATATCCAAGTCGATTAGAATATACTTATAATCACTCACTTGATTAATCATTATTTTTGTATAATGATATTCCGATATCTATGATTCAAATACAGAACTTCGATAACACAACAACTCTTGTTTTTACTTTTCGTTGAGCCCATTTCCTATGAGAAAACACTTAGAACAATGTCTAGAAGATTCTGTTTCCAAAAAATATTTAAAAGTACAAGAGAGAAAATAATAGCGACAAGCCTTGATATACATATGTTTATATAATTTAATGTAACTAAATAGTTATTTTTAAGTTTATTTATTACATTGTAGGAAATTTAAACAAGTTGTTTCTGAAAATATTCTAATACTAATGTCATCATGATCACTTTTATTTGATACACATGTTATGAAAATGCCACCTTAGGAGATAATTATGTATTTAGAGTATAGTCATTTTATTACTTTAAAGAAAACACTTCAATTTTACATCCCTATAATTCAGCTGGTTGCACAAACGTCCAAGTTCAAAGTGACATTACCCATACAAATTTGACATTTATTAGAGCTTAAAGACATTATTAAACCTTAATGGACATGTGCAACTAATTGTTTATCTTGGGGCGTCCACTATCGCGTATACAAAATTTTATAATTATGTATCGTAGCTAACCATGCATCAACTAAACTAAACCTGCAAATTTTTTTACTTAATCTGTCGAGTATATAAAATACAATTGCAAGATCTTACGAACACACACACATAAATTGCATGCTAAATAAAAGCTTTTAATAAACGATATTCTCACCTGTAACCCGCCCTCGCGTCTCAACTCCTCGGCATTGAGAGCGGAACAGCTGACTGTCGCGTGCGCGAGCTCGCACGCGGCGGGCAGGAGGGCGGGCGCGTCGCCCACAGCGAACAACTGTTCCGCCTCCGTCTCCAAGCGTGCCGTGCGTAATAGCTGCGGGTAGCCCGCGTACTTGTACGGGGCTAGCACTAACATCAAACGTAAAATATCACAGTTATATATTAATAAACCCAATTTACTCATCACACATAATACACAGATTGCAATAGGGTGTTTGACACTTTTCTGAAAACTATTTTAAATCACTGTTTGATTCATTATAAACACACTGTCAATAAATTTGTCTGACAAAAAATAATTTCTTGAAAATCTGTTCCATTTTCGATAAGAATAATTATAAAGTTTATATAACCAAAATCGTGCACAAAAAAAACACTGCTCTATGTAGTGTCATTGATCACGTGGTATTTGTATGTATAACCTATTTATCAACTATTTATTTACCAAGTAAACAAATAGTATTACAGAAGAGAAATTGAAGTTAAATTCTATGTTTTGTATCTACTCTGATTTTATTTGCACTTTATTGTCTCGTGTCTGAGTGTTGTGGTACCTTTGTTGTCTCAGATACTCCATAATACAGGGGCTTTAGCTCCTCATATTGGAATTAGCAATGTATGTGTAAAATATAATGATAATGATGATAAATGTAAAATATATAAAAATGGGCTAAAAATTGTATGTATAAATACAATTTTGCCTATCTCTAATAACACCGTTTTGAAATGACAGCTTCCTGTTAACGTGTGACGTCACACGCCGGTAAACAGAACAGAATAACAGGATGTTTTGGTTGTTCATTAAATTTCTAAAAATATTGCATTTTCTTCACGTTATTTTACTAAAGCTAAACATATTTTGTCTGAAGATTCTAAGAAATAAACTTTATTAGATTATTATCTAACAGCATGACCAAAATATGCAACTTATTTTTAATAGTGTCAAATACCCTATTGTTTCAAAACAATGACTACCCGGAAGTACGTTGATCGTTCAGTTGGTCTAATTTCAGAATCTATCACAATCTCATTCAAAGTTAAAGCTATTGTGCTAGCGATTTATAGTTTTATGTACCATTTATAGTCGCAATTACTTACCTAACGTCATAATATTCGAAATTAAAATTAACGCTTGCCTTAGACAATTACAATTAACGTCATATTAACAATATCGTTCAATCATAACTTACCATCTGAATATCTCCTGAACAGTATTGTCTGTGTTCGTAATATGAGCACGATGTTATTCGCATTGGGCCCATCACCAGTCCATACGTTTCTGCTACAAAGGAACTCGTACGCTTGATTCACAGCTTCAAATCGATCCTAATGCAAAACAAGTTAGCTATACAATTACATTCTTTTTTATTTATTTCCACATTGTAGTCTAAAAAAGTTGTTACATAAATGACCGAGTTCATCTTACGGTGAAGTAAAAAAAGCCTCTTTTCACCTTTGGAATATACATAGGATTAAATATACTTGATCATACACAACTCTTAATCAACCTTCATCAATCAATTGTTAACCTGTAGACGTGTTAGCAAACTACTAGAATTCATTAAATAGGGCATAATGAAACATAATAATAATAAAAATATTCACGCATGTAAATCTGATGTGAATACACATATTATCATTTTATTTATAATATTACATAGGTAGTGAACTTACATTAATCAACTTAATAAATTGTGCACTGATTAAATTTTTCTCCTGATTTTATTGACTTGTCATTTTGCTGTACCCGACAGGGTCCATAGTTTGAGTCTATGTTGTCGTCTGACACTATAGTGTTACATACCGATGTTCAATCTATGTCACACTTTCAAAAACTGTTTTAAATTAATTAATATGGGTACTTAATCCTAAACAAATGTTGTTTTATGTAAATAAGTCTTATTGTGCACCCAAAACTAAATTTAAAATTTAACCGTTTAAAGAAACCGCGTGAGCGATGATTTCAGTGAAAAGTTAAAAATTCAGTATATCATTATAATTACACTTTGATTGTTTCCCGCGCTTTTCCTGGTAAGTTTTACGACCGATTTAACCACAAATTACGTCTGATTGACATACACCTGCGGACTACAAATATAAATCATTATTATTTAGCAAAAATATTCGATGTATAATCTTTAAAATTTATGAACTTTCCAATCACACACAATTTTTTTTTATCTAACAGGGTCCTCTGCTCTGTTTCAAATAATACTTGTTACTGTTTATTTTAATTAAAATAAAAAGCATAAAACAAATAATTCGGTAAATTAAAATTAAATCAAACCTTTTTATAGCCGTGAAAACACTGTCCTTCATATTCATAACGTCATTCTGTACACTAAACAGATGCATAGAGTAGAAGATTAAATGATGTCAATAAAACAAGAACAATGCCATCTAACGATAGATTACGAAATAAAAAGTTACAAATAAACTAAGAACAGCGCCAACTACGAATTTCATTTATAACCTTATGACTAATTCGACAGCTGTCTCCAGTGACGTCACAAAATGGCGGGTAGTGTTTCAAAATCACGACTTAATTTCAATACAATAAGATAATCGTGTTATTTTAGGACACAAAATCGGGACCTCTATGTTTATTTCGTCGCGCACGCCGCTAGCCGAATGATAGATATCTTGAGACGTTTGTTGGCGTTGACGAAACCACCGTGTGCTGGTAACACACTAGCATGCATCAAGACGGTGTAAATTTTAGTTTTTGTGAAATTCCGTGACTTACTATTTTTCACTATCGAAATTACACTGTTGTTGTTTCTCATCTTTGGGCAGGGGCACCCCAATACCAGCTTCTCCCTCTGCTTGTTGCTTCACTGTGCATCTTCTATCGCCTTTACTACTGGGAATGCTCTGAGGAATTGTTCGGACTCATACCTGCCGCTAGTTTCCGCCATCGTTCCACGCGACAAGAAATCCACGCCTATCATTTGGATAGTTGGAAGTCCTCAACTGTGCGTTTTTCTAGAAGTTTCCTGCTTCGCACAGTCAAACTCTGGAACAGTTTGTCGCCAGCGGTATTTCCAGACCGATAGGACTTCAAACTTTGAAGCGTAGAGCATATTCGTCCCTCAAAGGCCGGCAGCGCGCTTGTAACTTCTGGTGTTGCAGGTGTCCATGGGCGACGGTAATCACTTACCATCAGGTGATCCGTCTGCTCGTCTACCCCCTATCCCATAAAAAAAAATAAGGCGGTATATAACTGACCCGTCCGTCCGGGTTCTTGTCGGGGTGGTACTGCTGCGCGAGCCGGTAGTACGCCTTGCGCACGGCCGCCTCGTCGTGGTGGGCGCCCGCCAGACCGAGCGCGCCGTACGCCTCGTCCGCGGTCATCGACGCCGGCTTCTTCTCCACCTCGCGCCGCCACGCCTCCAATACGTCTTTCAGCAATGCCACCTTATAACACAGAACCACAATAGTCATATACAATTCGATATTATATTCCTATAGATTAATTTAGGCAGGCCTGTTTGACAGTGTTACTATATGAGCAAAATTTAAGTGTTAACATTATACTTAATATCGATTTACTATCTGAACTTTTAAATTATAGTACACGTACAAGATTTTTGGTTCAGTAAATTTAGAAAATAAACGTTTCTATACTGTCTCAGATATTTTCAATGGTTAAATCGGATATCTTTTTCTTTTTAATTGTATAGTTATGGTTGTATAGTTGGCCGTTCGGCATCTGCAATAGTTAATACCAAACCACACACCAATCCGCACAGGGTTGATTCATCAAATTTGATTCTTTCGATAGAGAAGGCCCATTAAGTGGAGTAGAGACATTAATGGGCTGCTGCTGAATTTAAAATAAAGTCTCACCGGATCAGGTATCGGCCAATCTGGAAACTTGTGCGTGTCGCACAAATGTCTCAGGTAGAACACGTTGCAGAACAGCTCTCGTTCCAGGTGTGGGTAGCGTACAGCCGGTATGGCCAGGTACGGGTACCGGGCGGCCACGTGGGCGCGGAGACGAGGCGTGAACTCGCCTATGTGCGCTGCCACCTTCATGATCAGGATACGTCTGCCGAGTTACAATAACCCAACTAGAATGACTTTAGATACTTATAAAGCGCTAATGTCAATCCCTAATTGCTTAAAATTCCTTCATCAGCCAATAAAACGCGTTGTTACCAAGAAAACTGTAAAACTAAGTTAACTTTCATAATCAGACAAAAGCGCTGATAACTGACTGCTGATTAGTCTATGATGTGAATTAATTCAAAATGAAAACATACAGGTAGTAAAGACATTTTACTTGTGCTTATGAAGTTACCAGAGAGACAGATAGGGTGCCGCGATGTCCACTTCTCCATCTCTTTCTCTTACAGGCAGCCGTATTTCGTATCTACTTCTACGAATGCAAATAATGTATTTGGCAATAAACATCTGACATAGAAGCTCGTGTTAATGATAGTTCACGAGGGACATATCTAATCAGTTAACAAATTGACTGACGTAACGTCACAATATCGTAATATTTTTTTAATATATAGAGTAAAAACAAACCTCATTTCCGAGTTCCATATAGCTTCAGGCGTGTCCCACTCGCCGAGGAATATCTGTGCGAACTTGTCAGCGCCGTGGTTCTCGAGGTAACAAACCATCGCTTCAGGCAACAGTTGACCGAGAACCGACCGCTGCATTATATCTGAACTTGTCTGTGAATATATTTTTTATTATCTAGCATGTTTACATGTAAATTAAAAAAAAACATAGACTACTTTAAAAAATGTCAAATCATACGTAGTAAAACCTTGTTTTAATGAAAATTCATTTTGCGAGAATCAGACATTTTGTGGTGCAAAAAAAAGCATTTTCAACTAATTTATTTTGTAAGCTACTAAAACAGAAAAAAAGCTACCCCAATCAATTCCCGCGACTTCTGGGGATCCGCGAGTAAATATTGTGCTACAACCTTTTCCATAAACTCCTCAACAATAATAAATATGCCACCTGTTCTAGCGAAATTTATAAATACATTTTCAAGTAATTTTTGCAATACAAATGCTTCGAAATTTATTCCTTTTTAATAAAGAGGCAGTATAACTGCAAAAAATAAAAGTTTATTTTATATAAAAAAGAAACTATCTTAACTAACTTAAATGACAGTACATACTCACTTGATCAGCTTTAAACGCTTGCTTCATATGTGTGAGACGCAGGAACCTTGCTATCGGCAGCAGGTTTGAACCCGTGTACAATAACATAAAGTAGAATACGCCTGTAAGATATAATTTGGAAATCTCTGGATTGTCTTGCATTATCTCGTAAAGTAGAGTTGCCACCTACAAAATAAAATATATATCCTGAAGAACTTTCAATTTAAATTATAGTAAGTTAAGAAAAAACTAATTCAACTTACCTTCTCGACCAGTATAGGATCAAATGTGAGTAACAACTGTACGACGTGCGCCAAGCAAGCGGGCTCAGAGAGCATTCGTTTCACTTTGGGAAGTGGCCTTATCACAGCATCCTCTTCGTCTCTGAATCAATTCCAATAGAAAATCATAAGATAAATAACTTTTTTATTAATAGGGTGCAATATATAGATTATAACAAATGCAATAAAAACCTCAGTTTAGTGGCTTATTTCTTTAGCGGAAAAAAAAAAGGTTGCTTAAGGGTGCTCTCCGAACGCATGAGTCTCGTATATACGAATTCGACACAACAGAATAAAGACTTCGTAATACGTAACAACTTCATCTGAGGATGAATATATTTATTGAGATAATATACAGGGTCATTTGTAAAATACCAGCAACCTGGCATGAGTATATAACTAATATCATAAAAAAAACAACATTTATTATACGAGAAGTATTGAATACTCTGAACGGAAATTACACGGTATCACACGCCAATATTTAAGTTGTTTAGCTGCCTATATTTCCCGGCGTTACGGCAGTTAAAAAGGCATTTCTCACGATATATTTAAATTAGTTATTTTTTATCCAGAGACGATGGTACACTCACTGTTTGAGGCACCTTAGTTGTACTTTAGTTTTAAAAATTAGATACCAGATACTCGTACAGTTATAAAAAAAAAAAAAAAAATGTTTTTTGTGTATTGTTTGGATTCTCAGATACGTAGCTAAAGCCTTCATAAGTATCTGAAACAACGAAAGGTATTACTACCCACACCTAGACACAAAACAGTATAAAAGCTTATTTTCTACACCCCAACATAAATTGAACCGAACGGAAATCGAATGAAAGCATATGAAAAGTCATAGAATGAGCGTTGTTGTGATTTTGGGTATGTTCCGATATACACTGCGAGCACTGCGCAGTGGTCTTACTGCTGAAAAATCCGTTCCGTTATGGACTGCCAGTACACTGCTACAGTACCCTAGGGAAATTTATGACGTCATAAATTGCCGCCATATTTGTACCGTGAGCACTGGAGATTTCGAGGTAAGGTGCTCGCAGTGCTTTTGATCACGTGATCAGTCGAAACAGAATCAGAAAATGATAAGTTTCTAAATAAAAAAAAAAAAATACTTACGTTTATTATAAGATGGATAAATAATTTTTTTATACAATTTTCCAATTTTATAATATTTTCTTTTGAAAAGAGGGAATCTTTATATTTATATTCACCTTGCATTAACAAATTTGAAAATGGCGCCAAAAAATATGATTAACAGTATACTGGACTGCGTTCCGTTTTAAAAAGTCACCAGTATAACTAGCTATAAAGGAACGGGCTTCCAGTATACTAAATTGACGTCATACTGTTCAGTGGTCGCAGTGTATATCGGAACATACCCTTTATCTATGTAGTTCTGCGAGGTTGTTGGTGTTTTACAAATAACCCGGTATAAAAATATTGTTAAGAAATTTTTAAATAATAATAAATTAAAATCTATGCAGCATTACGTTTTATGTTATTATTTTATAATATTAAATCATTATACTAGCGGCAAATTTATTAAAGCCCTACCTGCTCGGGTAGTATCGCGCGCACGTGATGAGCAAATCTAGTATAGTGGCGGCGAGCGCGCTCTCGTCTAGTACGGCGGTGCCACGCGCCGATAGACTCCACTTGAGTTGCGGCACGGAGCCCACGGCCCGCCACCCCTCCATACTGTTAGCCCAGCATTTAGTCTTGTTGTTGATCTCCCCGGACTTGTACAGATCTTTCAACTGTCACACGACAATCAGAATCATCGTATCTATTTTTTATTTATCAAATAATTCATCACTATCGTCATCAGCCCTTTTTACGTTCCCAATGCAGGGGCTCACTTTCCTACCGGATGGTTAAGAAGGATGAGCCATAACCTTCCACGCTGGTCCAATGCGAATTGGAGGGTATCAACGACTGCAAACTCAGCCAGGACAAACGGCTTAACGTATTTCTCGAAGCGCGGAGTAGCTTAAGATAATAATTTTTGGTCACCCATCCCGTGACTGACCTTTGCAAAAGTGGCTTAACAACAACGATCGCGGACATCGGCGCTTATCCACTACTACTTATAGTAGCTAACTTATCTAACCTCTACTCTAAAGAAAAAAATATTTGGCATAATCAGTCTATTATTCCAATTGCCTACTTTTATAGTTACAACAATAAATTATGAAATATATTGGAAATGGTTGTGTGTTCACATGTAAATATGTAGTGTTTTTATTTTAAAATAAATTGTAAATATCTTCGCAAATTACCTTGCGATTTATAATATATGGATTACAAGAACAAAAACGCAGGTGGCCATGACGGAGCGTAGTGTGATGTTACATTTTAATAAACTGAAGTCAACCTCTTTGTTGCGAACGCAACCAGTACTCAAGTTTACTGAAATGTAAACTTGAGTTTCACAGCTCAAAATGTCACGTGACTGATTGTTTTCGCGGAAGAATTTAATGTAACGAATAAAAACGAGTTTTCCTTTTATTTAATAACACTTGCAGAATAATAATTCTAATTGTGGTTTACATTACATATTACATTCATAATTACGAAAATAATTGCGAAACTAAAGTTATATCAATCGGAATTACAACAAGATAACGCCTTTAAAGTAAGCTTGTTACTAATAATTATCATAATTAACATGAAACACAACCACACTACTGACTTGTTGAAAGCTGACGGGGCCCATCCTCTGCACCTTATCACCCTGTTCCAGGTTATAATACCACTCGCGATCTCCGCCGCCCTGTTGTTGAGCCGGCCCTTCTATTACATTACTTTGCGCCGGTACTGTGGCCCTTGACGTGTGCAAGTGAGCCAACGTCATCAATTCCACTAGAATCCTACAAAACCCTTATTATCACTAATGAGACTTTAAAAGTACAATATTAAAATAAAGTCACATGATAAAGTAATAGCACTTGTTACCTTATTCCATTCCATTCCAATATCTCGCTGACGTTCCTCCTATGTAGAATAAGCTTTGATAGAAATTGAACCAGTCTATCTCTCTCCATTCTATCGCAAGTCTGAAATGAGACTGACTAAATTGAACATTTGCTATTGTAGGCATGTCATAAATATTATATTAAAAGCAAATATTAAAAATACTAAGTTAACCGAACTAAAATTATTATTTCCAACCATGGATCATATTGATGTAGAACATCGCCCACTGCTAACAATACATTTTTTTTCTGGTAGTGTTCAATATACTATTACCGATAATCACACTTTCACATATTTATATATTTTTATTTAATTTTTTTGCTTATAAAATAGCCAATGGTTGACTTAATGCCAAAAAGGCATTCTCTGCCAGTCAAACCGGTGAAAATGTTAAGTAACTAATTAGGCGGCATCAGTTTAATGCTTATTATATTCATAATATTGCTTAAATTAATTATGAAAAAACAAACACTTTATGTTCCTTGTCACTTGACTTGTGACTCTTACTCATATCGGAACTTAGAAAATTCAACCTTATCCATACATAGAACGATATATGTTTCAGAGTGCCGTGACGTCATAGCGACGCCATGACAGAAGTGGTGTTTTCCCGGGAAATTACAAAAAAAGAATTTATTTTTAGATTTTAACTTATTATATGAATGATATTTTTAAATATTTTTTTAGATATATTTCATGTATTTAATGGAAAAAAAAAGAGTTATCTACATCCCTATCATATAGAACGAAGATAACGCAATTTTATACTGAAATAAACAGATAAATAAGCCGTGCGCATATTAGTATGATATGTGTAAAACAAACTTACCCTGTCTAACATTTGTACTATATATTTAGTGTCTGCAAAGGGTCCTATATCTTCAAAATATCTACCGTATACTATACTCATAGCCTGGAGGCACATGCACTTCATCTCTACTTTGGGCGTTGACAAAAACCGATGGTAGAGGTCATTGAAGAATTCGTATCTGCAACCGAATAAAAATAACAATAAAATCTCTTCTACAAAACATTCCCTTCGAAACTGAGCAGAGTGTGTGCTATATGTAAAACCATTTTTCAATAAGTCCTAAATTTTTAAAATTTCTATATGCACACTTTAATCTTCTTGATTGCTGTAGGAATTTTAAATTATGCAATAAAAAACTAGTTAAAGAGGTACAGTAAAATTAAGCAATAATATTAAAAATATGAATTTTGCTTGTATTCATATTCTATTATGATACTTATATAAATTCCAATATTAGTGCAATATTTTTAATATCCTAATACATATTTGTTATATAGTAATTTTCAAATTAACTTGCTTTAAAATGTATTATGCCTAGTCCTTTTGATAAAATTTCACTAATGAATATGTAAATTAAAAACACTGTGTAATATTTAACTCACGACTTTCGTATAGGGCTGTCATCATTATCACGTTGTTCCAATAATATTCGTAGGTAGTAGTCTCCAATCTTGACCTCGTTTTGCAGACACTGGTAGTGGACCTCCAGCTCGGCGTGATTCCATGAAGTCAACGTGTTACCGGCCGCCTCGCGGTCGCACATAAACGCTCGCAACTCACTCTCTAGTGCGTTACGAAGTTCTTCGCGAGTCTGTTTTGTTAAGAACAATGATACACCACATTTTATTAACAAAATAACTTGTAACTGAAGAAAAATTATAGGTAGATACGTGATCCTAAATACGGGTGTAGACAGTAAACTATTTTTTTTTATGGTAGTGTTTAATATAGTATTACCGATAAGCACACTTTTATGATTATTATAATTATAATATTACTTGAATTAATTATGAAAAAACAATTATTATATACTCATTGTCACGTGACCGTAAACAGCGTGAGACGTCACGTTCCTCTTATATCAGAATTTAGAGAATTGAACATTAACATAATAGAAAAACGATATTCATTTTAAAGGGACGTAAGCGTTTTTGCAGGGAATTTTAAAATCGAAATTTATTTTAAAACTTATTAAACGAATGGCACTTTTAATTATTTTTTTTTAGATATATTATATGTATATCTATAAAATATAGAAAAAAAAGTTGTCTTCACCACTATTACAGGAAAAGATTCTGGAAAAAGGAAAGTCTTAGGAGAATGGTCTGGTTGCGTGATATAATGGAATGGACAAATAGCCGAGAAAATAAATCAATATGGTATCAATAACACCTTCAAGCATTTTAGCATTTTCAAGAACAACACAAAATATGAGAAGATGACTACTGACCTTTGCTGAATATGGAGGTATTGTAAGAAAAAGAAAATCTTGTGATAGAAGGGACGATTTGGTTGAAACAAAGGTTGAGTATTAATGTTACGATGAATAAACTATGTGAAAGATATGGGTCAGAAACGGCTGATCAAATAATATGGAGGAAGTCTACATATAATGCCAACAATTAGAAGATATAGCACACAGAGAAGCTAATAAAAAATCTACGATAGTTGGCAACTTCCACATACGTTTATTAGTAAGATATCCGGAGATCTAACTGCCGAATATCTCCATAAGCTCCATTGAAGGGCAAAATACAATGTACAAAAAATCTTCAGGCAATAATTTTTACATTAGTATATCCTCCTACCTTAAATTTTACCTTTATTTCTGACAAAGGAGAGGAAAGCATACAAATTACTAAAATTTTCTCACGTCAGCGATAATCGGATTGCCGCTTGTTCGGATTGAACTTTTGTTCATTGTTATTGATAAATAAATAAACGTACCGTGTGATTCCATATGAGGTTTGGGAGGGCATGGTCTCTATGAAACTGGTAGTAGAACAGCGGCCAATTAGCGGTAGACTTGAGCCGTTCCCTCCTCCTTCGTAACACAACGGGCCTCTCTCTCGCTTCTTTGCCCTGACCTGAAGCATTGGGTGCACCTCGCCCGGTCTTTTGTGCCCAATGCTGGAGCGCTAGGGCTGCGTAGTGCTATAAAATTACAAATAAGTTGACTATTCAAATAACATTAAAATAGGAAAGTGGTTGTTCATTAATCTTTCTTTGACGTCACAACCGCGAGTCTTTATTATATGATTTTTTTATGTTAAGTGGCTGGAAGTGGCAGAGAGTATCCCGTAGAAAGATCTATTATGTTGAAATGACACGCAGCTAGTTAGAAAAAACTAAAAATACAGTTTTCCTTGCTTTAAATTGCACCTTATCTTCAGTAAAATCTAGTATATGACGTCACAACTAAAAGTGCGAAAAAGTGAAACATTATCAGATGAAAGCTAAGATCAAACTTTAAACAAAAACAAGCATCAAAAAATTAAATACAACATTCCTTCGAGTTCTTACCTCTAAATGTTTCTCAACATATTTCACTTGTCTCTCGAGCGCCTCCCAATGAGGAGCGCGTTGTTTCACAGTCTGTTGAACCAGCTGTAGATTGTCTCGCTCATCCACGCGCTCCTCTTCTAAGGCAGTAGCAGGGGGCGCTTCGGTCGACTCTAAGAACGCGAGCAAACCTGACGGCTGATAATAGAAAATGTTCCTTATTGTTAATCTATTATCAGATTCTTTTTGGTATACACAGCAGGCCAGGTTGCAGTAAGTTTTAACTTATATAGGGAATGTTCGTTTGAACAGAGCAAATCTACAAAATTCAATGATGATTAATTTTATAGTGAGTCTTGTTTCAATAATCAAAATGTGTAAAATACAATACATTAGAAGACCATATCACTAACACTCGGCCGATAACGTAATACTTGAATCACTCTGATTGGTTGGCATTTGCAAAAGCTTCGAAAATTATGCTTCTGCGCAGATACATCGAGGAGCCACATTAGTTGTAGTAATTTTTGAAAACTTATATATTTAAACCCATAAAATGAATTATAAACTTTAGCTACGCTAGATCCACCATCACTTATATCTTTAAAGTGGCAGACATATTGAACCGTTGCATATTATTTCACAAATAAATAAATTTTAATATTATCAAAAATAAAGCAGAGCGCCACCAGATGGCGCGCGAGGTGGCGGTGGTGCATCAGCATCACACACTCACCATGATCCTGCGCAGCAAGCAGTGCGCGGGCGCGTGCTCCACCAGCCAGAGCGCCACCAGATGGCGCGCGAGGTGGCGGTGGTGCATCACCATCACACACTCACCATGATCCTGCGCAGCAAGCAGTGCGCGGGCGCGTGCTCCACCAGCCAGAGCGCCACCAGATGGCGCGCGAGGTGGCGGTGGTGCATCACCATCACACACTCACCATGATCCTGCGCAGCAAGCAGTGCGCGGGCGCGTGCTCCACCAGCCAGAGCGCCACCAGATGGCGCGCGAGGTGGCGGTGGTGCATCACCATCACACACTCACCATGATCCTGCGCAGCAAGCAGTGCGCGGGCGCGTGCTCCACCAGCCAGAGCGCCACCAGATGGCGCGCGAGGTGGCGGTGGTGCATCACCATCACACACTCACCATGATCCTGCGCAGCAAGCAGTGCGCGGGCGCGTGCTCCACCAGCCAGAGCGCCACCAGATAGCGCGCGGTGGCGGTGGTGCATCACCATCACACACTCACCATGATCCTGCGCAGCAAGCAGTGCGCGGGCGCGTGCTCCACCAGCCAGAGCGCCACCAGATGGCGCGCGAGGTGGCGGTGGTGCATCACCATCACACACTCACCATGATCCTGCGCAGCAAGCAGTGCGCGGGCGCGTGCTCCACCAGCCAGAGCGCCACCAGATGGCGCGCGAGGTGGCGGTGGTGCATCACCATCACACACTCACCATGATCCTGCGCAGCAAGCAGTGCGCGGGCGCGTGCTCCACCAGCCAGAGCGCCACCAGATGGCGCGCGAGGTGGCGGTGGTGCATCACCATCACACACTCACCATGATCCTGCGCAGCAAGCAGTGCGCGGGCGCGTGCTCCACCAGCCAGAGCGCCACCAGATGGCGCGCGAGGTGGCGGTGGTGCATCACCATCACACACTCACCATGATCCTGCGCAGCAAGCAGTGCGCGGGCGCGTGCTCCACCAGCCAGAGCGCCACCAGATGGCGCGCGAGGTGGCGGTGGTGCATCACCATCACACACTCACCATGATCCTGCGCAGCAAGCAGTGCGCGGGCGCGTGCTCCACCAGCCAGAGCGCCACCAGATGGCGCGCGAGGTGGCGGTGGTGCATCACCATCACACACTCACCATGATCCTGCGCAGCAAGCAGTGCGCGGGCGCGTGCTCCACCAGCCAGAGCGCCACCAGATGGCGCGCGAGGTGGCGGTGGTGCAGGCGCGCGGGCGCGTACAGCGCGGACAGCAGGTGCCGCGGCAGCGCCGCCTCGGCCAGCGCCAGCGCCTGCATGCGCGCCCCCACCGAGCCGCCGCCCTCCTCGATCAGGGCGCGCATCACTAGTCCGGCACCTTTCACTATAGCCATCGACGGATGCTAAAGACAAATATAGTCAAATCACTTCACATCTATTTAAGACCATTCGGTCGTCTCTCTGACATATATAAATAGTTTTAAAGTACCTGTCAATTTCGTCTCCATACTTTCTCTCTTCTTATGTGTTATTGATTAAAATTAAAAGACCTTCCAATGTATCATCGATACTTATCATATTCGAAATTTTATCACTCTAATATGAAACTTTTTCATTATCAGTGCTTAAATAAAGTTCAATCGTCTGACTGTTCGTTTTGCTGAGCTGTATATGTGAATAAATAAGACTCACTTCAAACAATTTAAACAGGACTCTGCCTTTGTTGGCGACCATCTCCAGCAGCTGATCGAATTGTTTGCCGTCTGTAGTTTCACTGTACGGCACACAAAGCGCAAAGGTCAGGAAATCTAGCATCGCTGCAACCACTAGAGCTCCGCTACCTGATATCTATCGGTAAAAACAAAACAAAACGATTAATGTAATGACATATATATTCGTGAAAATTAAAATATTTTACTCTATTCTTATAAGATACGAGTACAACTGATGTCGCACACTGATGTTATGACGACTATGAAAAGCGGTAAAAGTCGAACAATCGAAATAATGCAAGTATCGAGCCATCGAGCGATCCACGCACTTCAACCCCCCTAAGCATTTTACACCTTATTGGTATTCAAATAAGACTCTTTATATATTTTAGGTGTGCATGCAATCGTCGTTAATTTTTTTTATTCTATGCATAGATTGAAATATTTTTCAGTATAGCATTGTTAATGAAAAATTGAACAAATATAATAATCGATTACTTATTAACTAGCTTTTCCATAAGGAACTGACCACATGCTCCGCCCACATGGTGAGCAGTCCTTCCAAAAATGCAACAGACGACAGCATGCTGGCCTTGTTAAGCTGTTCCTGCCGCAGGTCCGGCTCCTGGTGCATGGGCTGCATCAGAGCGCACACAGCATCCAGAGCAGCGTGGGAACACGCCGCTGAGCCGCGACGTAATGCCGACACTACCGCCGTGCCGATCCACTCACGGAATCTGAACGAATATATTGCCACACACACTATATTAAAACACCAATGACTAGTTGAGTAACATCACAATACGGGTATAGATAGTAAACGAAAATAAATATGTAGATATTATTTTTTCTGGTAGCGTTTAATATAGTATTACCGATAATCAAATTTTTGTGCTTATTATATTTATAATATTGCTTAATTTAATTATTAAAAACAAATATTTTATATTCGTTGCCACGTGATTGCAACAGCGCGTGACGTCACACACCTCTTACTCATATCAGAACTTTTAGAATTCAACCTTATGCATACATAGACGATATTTGTTTCAGAGGGTCACGGCCCTCTTAAACTAATATCGTTCTGCCATGACAGAAGAAGCGTTTTTACGGAAAATTTTGAAAATTAATTTTTTTTTTAAATTTAACTTATTATATGATATATTTCATGTTCATCTATAAAATAAAAATATTTAAAAAGTTGTCTACATCGCTATTAGCAACGCTTGTTCTATGAATTATTATAACTGGCTAATTGATTGTTGAAAAAGTATTTAAAAATTTTCATACTGACATTTCGAGCGGTGACGTCACATTTCAATAAATCTGAGTACTGGTTGTAGTCACAAAAAAGACGTGGACAGGTTACAAATCGCACATTTACGAGTGCTATTTGTAATCTAGGGTTTCATTATTATTGATTGCTCTAAGTGATCTGACAGACACTTGTGTTTTGATTCGGCGAAGTATTTGTTTATTTAATATCACTATCATAGATTTATGTGTGTATTGTGAATTCCATCACTTACCCAGGTAGAGCAGTAAACGCAGCAAAGCCGACTTTGCTAGCACAGAGGCGGCGCAATGCGTGGAACTGTGCTTCTAGTTCGCGCGGTGGCAAAGTGGTGCCTGCAGTGGAACTCGTCACCAACGCATTCAGTGCTCCGGTAATCAATTTCTCCTTGTTCTCCGCGAAAAGTCGCTACGGAACATGAGTATACATAAAAACTTGTTTTATGATTAACTTTATGAAGGAATCCATAAAAACCCCCATTCAGACTATGAATTCGTATACACTTCAGCTTCTCTACATAAGTATAGGAGAAATGGTACTGTTATGACCTTCATGCAACTTTTTATTAGAAAAATATTCATTTGTTAAGACAGAATAAGCAGAAATAAAGTTTGATTTTTAATAATTCATTCAGTAGCTGTTTCCTAACTGTAATTAGATTGAGCAATTACTAAATTACTTATGAACTGTACTACTCCTCCTACAATAAAATGAGCAATGAGAATAAAACTAAGATAAACGTACATTACTAAATTGACAAAAACTATAAATACTACATCATAAATACTACAGGTGACGAATTAGAGTCGTCATTTAAAACTTTCTGATCCTAATATACGGGAAAATCCGCATAAACTAAATTCAAGTATATAACGTTTCTTATGGTGTTCTATTGATAATGTGAAAAACACGATCTTAATATCGTTGCTGATAATAAAAATTTCAAAGTCAAGGGTCACGATAATCAGATTTTCACTATTATCTCATGTCCTAATTTTGAATTCAATTAAGATGATTATAAAAATTGTTCGTAGTTCGATATCTGTAAAAATATATCGTTCAAGAATAAAACGTTAAATAAGACGTTCGAATAATTAAATGTACGTTTACCTTTACACGTATCCGAAGAAATAAGTTAAACATAAGTGTTAATCTAAATGTGAAAGTGCCAAAAATATACATTTTATGATATTTACAATACATATCTCCAAAAAAAAGGTCAAGCATACCAATAAAACCAAATTAATCGTGTATTTTTTACATTTTTTTTATATTTACATGGAAAGTGTGAATAGCAAATAAAATGATGAGGGACTTACAAGATCCCACGTAAGAAACAGCCACAACAGGGGACGGGCCTACAGGCACATAACATAATATTTATACCGTAAAATAAAAGAGCAAATAAAAAAAAAACATAACTAGTGCAAAAAATAAGCAAAACAAAAAAGAAAAAGTTCTATTAAAAAACCAA